AACTTGCAATATCCACCGACAACAGCATGGTGGTGTGGTGCCTGCGCAATCAAGGGACAATGTACTCCCACACCCTTCTTCAACAGACATTCAGGTTCTTTCATCTAGTGGATCGTCTGAGGCTTCAATTCCTAGTCCAGCACATCCCAGCTGACGCCTTATCCCAGGCAGATAGGGTGGCTCCCACAGAGTGGAATTTCACTCAGGTGTGCTCCAACTGTTCAGCGCTTCCGGCAACAAAACATCAAACTGTTTGTGACTTACCAGAACCACCAACTTATGAAGATGCCTCACGCTCTCGGATCCACAGGCTTGGGCAGTAGACTCGTACCATCTGTACTACTTCCCAGGGAGATACAAAAGGTGGCGCCTTGGTGTCTTAAAAAGGAGTTATTTGGGTTATTTGGGGCCCTCTACAAGTGGCGATCATTTGAAACCTTTTGTGAGGATAAAAATCAAGATCCCACGACAGTATCACCGCAAAATTTCCTAGGGGAATACCTCCTTGCGTACCAAAAGACACTTGAAAGGTAGCACCATTACAATGTATTTTGTAGCGCTTAATTCAGGGTTGGCTGCAAAATGACTATGGTCCAGGAACTACAGGCCCTATTATGCTCTTTTAGGCTTGAGGATGAGGACAAATTCTGTCCCCCGTCGCAACGGTTGCAACGGTCCCCCTTTGAGCCCCTCAATGCATCTTCATTTTATGACCTCACCAAGATTTTTTTCCTCTGTTGGCTTTAGCCACTGCAGGGCGGGTCAGTGAGTTACACACTCTTGACATCAACCCCCCTCCCCCCGTGTCCATTTTGAGCATGGCATGGGGTGAGCGGTTTGTTCATCTTGGGTTGTGCTGGGATTTCATGGTGAAAAATCAACTTCCAGGCCAACCACATATCTCAACGATTGTGGGAGTTGAAGATGCTGGTGAACTCCTCTTGTGCCTGGGTGCACAATACAAGTTTTAATCTGCCACTCCAAAACTAGGCGTGTCTCGCAGAAACAGTTATTCATTCCGGTATCCCTCACGTCCATGACCGAAGTTAGTCTCAACACCATATCTCTGTGGTTACACGCAGTCATCCTGGAGGCTTTTGAGGTAAACTTGATCCACCCAGAGTGAACAACCTTCATGGGATCAGGGTGGTAGCCACTACCATGGTTCATACAGTAATTGTCCTATTAGAGCAATCATGGAAGGATGTTTTTGGAGGTCCAACACAGTTTTTGCAAGTCAATATCTTCGCGATGTGGCTCTTGAAGACGTCGAAGGCGTTCACAGTTTTGGACCTCTGGTAGTAGCGCAGCAGGTAACAAATCCCAGACGCAAATAATGAACTCGTCCTTCTCTTCCCATGCAGCACTATCTACAACACGCCAGGTGAGAGATATTTCTCAAGATTTTTATCAGCTTTGGCTTGATAACACAGTGTGTAAAGATTTGAGCTAATACTATCTTCTGTTTTTACAAGTTTGACTACACAGATTTATCCTCATTTTGTATGTTCAGTAAATAAGATTGAACCAGCCCTAATGTTCCAGTGTTTTCTGCATTTTTCGCCTTACAGTTATTTGACAAGTTTGTCTTTTGAAGGGTTTCATTTATTGATGTTTATGACATCTGAAGGTATACCCTCCACCATACCATCTGATACTGATGCCTTAAGGAGTAATGCAGGATAAGTAAAAAAAAATTAGTAAAATCTAAATAATTTTGACATTTGTATACTTTGTATATTCAGAAACCTTTTTTTGATAAGCTCGGGGGACAAGTGGTAATATTACTTGATGTGACATATCATCAAGGTCACATCACAGCGACAACTAAGAAAAGCAGGACTTAGAACGGAAACTGCATCTTCTCTTTCAACCAGGAAAGGGTGTCTCTTTTTGTCGCAAGGTTAGCAGTAAATACATTCGGGAGTAATGCAGGATAAGTATACAAATGTAAAAGATATCCAGATTTTACTTTTATGGACAGATTTTTCAGTCAATATTTATGCGTTTAATAAATTGCCCAAGTGAAATGTTTAGTCATTTAACACATTGACTATAACATATACACATGATAAATAAGCAATGCTCAGGTGTATCCGTAGCGGATTCTTACAAAAGTTTGCACATCGGTTTTTCAATTCATACCTCAATGAGCCGGAAAAACTACATAGTCAATGCTTATAATTAGATTGGACAACGAAAACATATAATAGTTTAACCAAATACAGTTGTTTTTATAAAAGCAGACGAAAATGACGAGATTGATAAACAATCCCGGTGTAGGAATACATACTGTGGCATGACATGAATCGTGTGATTGTTTAATTTATGCACATAACTTGACATGCCCACACAGTCAGTAGCTAATCAACGGAGAGTGGGATTAAAACAAAGTTCATAGGACCTGTCAATCAAGGAAAGAGGCGAGAAGAACTGCAACAGTCAGACTGTAACGAGCCGGAACAAATATGTCCGAGAGAAGGCGACTTGTTTCAAATTACATAGTCAGTTACTGCCAGATTTGAGCATTAGTGCCCTGAGAACGGGAAGACCTAGTTGGAAAAATGCTAGTTAGAAATGAAACCCGAAGAAATGAAAGTTGTGGCACCGAGGCGAGCGGGACAAAAACAGGCGAGAGAGTCTGCACATTTGAAGTTTCATTCCTTCTCAGCCCTGGGTCTCAAGGGTTGTATGGACAAGGAATATGCATGAAAGTCGCTAAATGTCCAGTGCATGGCGATACACATGAGCAGAAAGGGAATTCCCTCGCATGTAATATTAGGATTCCCTGACATTCTGTAGTAATAAAAGTCGTCCACTTCGGTGGGCGTGGTTTACTTTTTTACATTCATTGGGAATTGAATGCAATAACACGTGACCAATTCAGCTAATCAGAATGCAGGAATTTCAATGAACATAAGGAAAATTAAATCCATATCAATAACAGCGACAAATGTGCTTCTTGTTGGTGCAGCACAGGTCACAAACTAGTTGAGATTCTGGGATATCTTCTGGGTACTAATGGGCAAGAAACAATAACAAAGGCAACAACCAGTCCCATGCAAATGCTGTAGATCAGTGCCCCTTTAAGGTATATCATATATGATCATCTTGAAGTATTGTCAGTGCACCCAAAATGTTTCACTGTTTGAGTTTGTGAACTACTTAATAATCTCCAACAGCCTACTAAGAACTAATAGATGAAATTATTGACACATCATCCAGCACTGACCTTTGTACATTAAGTGTGCTTCTTTAAAGGCAAAACACCCCAAATGTCTGATGTATAGTACACCCGCCACCCTATACACATACTACACATTTCAGGTGTTGAGCCCCTATACTGACTATACACATACTACACATGTTTCAGGTGTTGAGCCCCACTACTGACTATACACATACTACACGTTTCAGGTGTTGAGTCCAACTACTGACTATACACATACTACACATGTTTCAGGTGTTGAGCCCCTATACTGACTATACACATACTACACGTTTCAGGTGTTGAGCCCCTATACTGACTATACACATACTACACATGTTTCAGGTGTTGAGCCCCTATACTGACTATACACATACTACACATGTTTCAGGTGTTGAGCCCCTATACTGACTATACACATACTACACGTTTCAGGTGTTGAGCCCCTATACTGACTATACACATACTACACGTTTCAGGTGTTGAGCCCCTATACTGACTATACACATAGTACACATTTCAGGTGTTTAGCCCCTATACTGACTATACATATACTACACATGTTTCAGGTGTTAAGCCCCTATACTGACTATACACATACTACACGTTTCAGGTGTTGAGTCCTACTACTGACTATACACATACTACACATGTTTCAGGTGTTGAGCCCCACTACTGACTATACACATACTACACATGTTTCAGGTGTTGAGCCCCACTACTGACTATACACATACTACACATGTTTCAGGTGTTGAGTCCTACTACTGACTATACACATACTACACATGTTTCAGGTGTTGAGCCCCACTACTGTCTATACACATACTACACATGTTTCAGGTGTTGAGTCCTACTACTGACTATACACATACTACACATGTTTCAGGTGTTGAGCCCCACTACTGACTATACACATACTACACATGTTTCAGGTGTTGAGTCCTACTACTGACTATACACATACTACACATGTTTCAGGTGTTGAGCCCCACTACTGTCTATACACATACTACACATGTTTCAGGTGTTGAGTCCTACTACTGACTATACACATACTACACATGTTTCAGGTGTTGAGTCCTACTACTGACTATACACATACTACACATGTTTCAGGTGTTGAGCCCCTATACTGACTATACACATACTACACGTTTCAGGTGTTGAGCCCCTATACTGACTATACACATACTACACGTTTCAGGTGTTGAGTCCTACTACTGACTATACACATACTACACATGTTTCAGGTGTTGAGCCCCTATACTGACTATACACATACTACACATGTTTCAGGTGTTGAGCGCCACTACTGACTATACACATACTACACATGTTTCAGGTGTTGAGTCCTACTACTGACTATACACATACTACACATGTTTCAGGTGTTGAGCCCCTATACTGACTATACACATACTACACATGTTTCAGGTGTTGAGCCCCTATACTGACTATACACATACTACACATATTTCAGGTGTTGTGCCCCTATACTGACTATACACATACTACACATGTTTCAGGTGTTGAGCCCCTATACTGACTATACACATACTACACATGTTTCAGGTGTTGAGCCCCTATACTGACTATACACATGTTTCAGGTGTTGAGCACCTATACTGACTATAGACATACTACACATGTTTCACATGCTATGATATATATTCACTTGACTTTAAGTCAGGTCACGTAAAACTGATTGTGTAATGGTTCTGTAATTAAATAATTTCTCAAAATATTTCCCCAAATTTAACTTGAAAAAGTTGCTTTTTCGAGTACATACTTTTGAACTTGTCTTTGTCATACTTGGGGCAACAGACAGGGCGTGTGAGTTTGCAGGCCAATCCATCTTGTTTATTGTGGTAGTGGTCTATCAGCTGAGAACAAAAGATGATGCTGCTTGACATGTTAAAAGCATCATTGATGCCATTTTCCTGGAGATTACATGGTACATTTTTATTGATACAACTACAAGGGGAACAATTCAGACACTTGCAATTGGATCCAGTGATCTTTTTACCATCAAGTCAAATATCTGCAGTGGTATACAGTGAACTGTCTTTGAAAAGTGAATAAATAAAATGTGAAAAGTGAAAATGTCCCATTATGTGAATGGATAAAGTGACACTGACAAGATAACATTCTGCAAGTTTTTGTCTTTATTTAAAAACTATGTGTGTGTCCCCTGGTTTCATCAAATGTCCCCAATTCTCAGAACGTTCGGGGTCAGTGGATGCCATTTTTCCAATTTCTTAAATGAACACATTTCTTATGAATCAAAACTGGTTTACCATTATGAGACATTCAAACTTTGGCCCATCTTCAATGGAGAGTTTCTCTGCATTGATGTTGATGAAGTAATGCTTGGGGCAGACCTTGGAGCTGAGAGTTAGGGCATAACTCTTGTGGTCATCTCTCTCCCGCACACTACAAAAAACACAAGAGAAAACACCTTTTGGGATGAGTCCCATCCAGAACACAAGAGGGGTACACAAGTACGTGATCTAGACTACCAGTTAGCAGACTTTCATTTGAGTGGAAGCCTTGGTGGCTGAGTGGGTTAGAACGCTGACTTTGTGTGCTGGTGATTCAGTGAGAGTGTGGGTTTAAATCCATGATGGGACTCAACCCAAACAAGTACTAGAATTTCTTCTTTACAAAGACAGAGTATTCCAAATATAATAATTGTTATAAATACTACAAGGAAAGTGTAATCCCAAATATAAAATTTGTTATACAAGCCAAAGGCTATTTCAGATGGTTCATGGGGGGAATTTACACTGCCAATTATACATTTTGAGAGAACTTATGAGCATGGTCAAAACAAGGTCAAAGTTGAAAATATGCAAAACATGCAATGTAGCTCACCTGGATATGTAGTCAACAGCTCAAACAACTAAGACAGCCACTGAGAAATAGTTGCTGTCACAGCATTAATGTCGTCCAAAGTACAAACATACATGCCAAAGTTCATCTACTTCAGTCTGACAATTTCAAAATAGAAATTGACAGAGACAAAATTGTATTTTGAGAGAATTTAAGAGCATGGTCTAAACAAGGTCAAAAAGTAAAACCTTTGAAAAATTTGGTGAATTCCACAACCTAAAAACAAGTTATAGCCATGAATATTTTTTTCAATATGGCCTCTGTGATGGCCATATTAAAATTCAGATTCTAACCTCTTGAACAAATTCAAGTGTCATCATTGGTTGGAACAAGAATGTGAAGTTTAATATTCATTGGTCTGGTTGTTTTTGAGATGCAAATAAATGTAATTTGAAAGAATTTAGGAGCATGGTCCAAGTGCAAAGGTAAAATCAGTGTCAGAATTGGCCATATTGTGAAAATAGAGAACAAATATGTTGAACTATACTAAATACCATCATTTCAATTTGAACAAGAATGACTGAGCAATGGACATAAACAGCTTTTTCAAAATGACTGTTCACCAATATAAGCTTGTCCACAATTGCAGGGAATGTGGTACACTGCTCCTAATGGTTCCAGCTTGTGGCTGGATGGTGGCTTTCCTGTGGCTTTAATTGTGTTCTGAATGCTGTGACTTCTTTTGGAAACTACATCAATGTTGGCCTGTTTCTTTAATTGTGGACAAGCTTATATAGGCGAAACATCTAGCCATAAACACTACCTTTGATCCTGTATATATACTTGTCAATTAAAGTCTGTACATCATTTGCTTGATAACGGTGTAAGAACCTACACCGAAATGTCGCTTCTAATGGTAATAATGAAGTTGTTCATCCATATATAACTTTTTCAGGATTTAAATAGGAAGACCACAGGAAGCTTCAACAGTGACTGGTCTTATTGTTCCATATCAACAAAATATCAGGCAATAGCAATAACCTGTACCAAAGTGGTATACTTATATGGTTATTGGTACTTTCAATATATATAGTAAAAGCTGCAACTATTAAAGAGCACAATATTGAATTCCCTGCTAAAATATTATCAGGTATATTCTAACTGAATCACTGGTAGATCTGGAAGAAATTTGTACAGCTAATTGGTATTTCTGGCATAGTTCATGAGAAAATACACAAGGTAATCTTAATCCATGCATACAAAACAATGCCCAGCAGAATGGGAAATACAACTTAAATGGTAAATGTAATGTCTAATAATGTAATGTCTAATAATGTTTGTTATCACCTGCTCATTTACCGAACTCGCTGAAGGGATACAATGTAGTTTCTTACCCTGCATAATATTTAAAAAAATCTTTCTTCCCCAAAATACTGCATCCCCTAGTGATGTATGCATTATGCTTGGGTCTGCTCACCTTACTCCAGAACATACAATTAGCCATTGAAAGACAGAGTAGCCCCTCATTGCTTCATGAGCACATATGTTGGGGTATCTACAATTTATATCACAACTCTTATAGCATGTCAAACCATGTTGCAGCAATTTAAAGTTTTCTTGGCATGTTTAAGAGGGTGACAAGAGACAGAGAGAGGAAATTTGGGATAAAAGATATAGTTGGGATAGAAAGGGTCATAACCCAAACTAATGTCCTTTGATCTCTTGTCCTATGATCACTCACATCTGTGAAATGAAAAGCAGTAAATGCCAAATAAGACATTTTCAAATTCGAATGGTCGGTCAACCGACAGTGATTCAAAAAATTTCAAGTGTTTGACAGAGTTCAGAAGAATCTTTTGAATATAAACAAGTAATGTTATCTAGTTATTTACCATAGCCTTCTGTTTCTGCACTAAGAAAATTCATTATGCTAATAAGCCGTGTTCTCTCCAAAACTAGACAAAGCAGGTGTTGCAGCTTGGATTCAAAACATTGCCAGGATGTGCAATGTAAATCAGCTGTATATTGCCTATTGTGGGATAGGCCAAGGCATACCAAGTCATACCATGTAGGTAGTGATTTAGAGGAGGTGAGGTGAAATGAGGTTTAAAGTTGCGTTCAAGATTATAGCACTTATACAGTGACATGCATGCACATGTTTGTGTGTGTGTGGCAGCTTATACTAGTCCGGACTAATGCTGAGTGGGCAAACGATCTATCCACTAGATGATGGAGGTGAACTGATTTAATGGATGATGTTAGGGAGTTGACCAAGGCATACCACATGTAGGTAGTGATTTAAAGGAATATAACACCTGTAAGCCTTGATTCCAAATTAAAATAAAAGGTCTCAACTCTACAAATCTCAAAACACAGTGGGTTTATCTCATAATTATATTTTTATGAAAATAGGGTTTGCGGACAAATTATAAAATAATTGGTAAGCTCACGAGGACCTTCTGTCTAGTTGTGCCAAAAATTACTGCTCACTTACAGAAATTTTCCATCCATATGTCCATCTTTAAGCAGCCTTACTTCTGCTTCTTCCCTCGATATTCTCTGATGATACCATGGCATTTTCAGATGAAGATCCTTGGCAACCATCTTAATCAAGGAGTCACGCATTGTGCCCATTGCCTTGTCCATTCGCACATTCTGTAAAAACAATAAATCATATTTTTTTCATGTTTCAGGCTAATTTTGGCGTTTTACTACAAACCATATAAACAAATATCTAAGTATCATTGGGGACTTGTTTCCACTCATCTTTGCTTGCAATCATTGAATGTAAGATAACAAATGGTCGTATTTTAAAATTCTTCTATATTTTGAGATAATGGAAGGGCAAGAAAAATCTTCAATTCTAATGGACATGTCAAATTTCATTCAAAACAATTCAAACATCAAAACAATAGTTATCATTGTTAATAATTCTGAGAATACTACCTCAATTACATCATTGCCATCATCCTGTATTTTGGCTGTATTCACACTATTACTAAATCTTCAGAAGTCCTCTTCCCTGTCAACTACATATGAGTTGTTGTACCCATATAAGCACTTTGCTGTCTTGTCACTCTCTCATGTCCAAGGTGGGAAAACCTCACTTCTTTCCAAAACTAGATGCAGATGACTGGGGAGGTGGGAGGTCACTTCAGGCATGATTCAGCTATTTCGCCTCTTCTACTCTAAGTAGATAATGATGATATAAAAAAATTGTAAGGCCGATCGATAGAACTCTATAGTGCCATGACGAAAAGTAGTTGTCTTGACAGAGATGTAAGAGGAAATTTGCCAACACAAGGATCATTACAACATCATCTATTGAAACTTGTCATGTCACCACTGGCGGAATATGTCCCATTGGTTATCAGAGAGGAGGGAGGAGGAGGATGGTTGCCAAGATTGCGCTACAGCTGCTGAAGCAGACTCGGAAGAGCCAGAAGCCTGCATCTTGTTTGTAAAACTTCCAGGCGTATAGATGAAGATTTGGAAGATTGTTGTAGAATATATATGACTGGGGCTGACGGGGAAGATCTCAACTGAGAGGTAGGCAGAGATGATCCTCCATGAGCAGTGGAAATAGTTAGGGCAACCATGTCCATAGCCAGGAAGCTGATTGTTCAGACACAAAAGACCAAGGTGCTGTGTGTCTCATAACAATGTTATTCAGGAAAACACCTCTGGTTAAGAGACCATTCCATCATTACTTACCTCCCTTGTTGAGAAAAGATTGTTTGCTAGGATGTTGAACTTCCCAGGAATATGAGGAGCATGTCCAGCAGCTGATGGAGTCTGCCAAAGCAAGAATTGTGTAGTTTCGATCATCAAGAAACTGGACTTCTCCAGCCTCTGATTTACTTTACCTCCGTTGTGTTGTCCATGGCAATAAGATCAAAAGAGCGAAACAGTAGAGATTCCCAGACGTGAGGGCATAATAGATTGTCTTCATCTAACGGTAATTGATGTGGAGTTCTTTCTCGGAAACAGTCCACCAGCACTGAATCATGAAACCGTCCATGTGGGCTCCCCAATCCGAATTGGAGGTGTCCCTGAAAAGATGATGTTTCGGGATAAAATGGACAGACAAATGGACTGTCCCTCATTACTTGGTCCCTCTGAATCCATGATTCAAATTCTGGGATGAATTTGGGGGGCATCTGTACAATAGGAAACCAAGAAGAGCCATAAGTTGAATGAAAAAGATTGTATTTCGATGGAGCTGAGATCTGTCTTAATCAACAGATAGGAAATCATCCAAATATCTGTGAAGGCAGAGTAACTGTATGTTGGCAAAGCTGATGATGGGAGAAGTGGTCTTGGTGAACAACCAAGGTGCGGTTGTAATCCCAAACAGGAGGACCTGAAACTTGTGGCATCTGCTGTTGACTGCAAAGAGTAGATACTTTCCATACCCCTGATGAATGGGTACATGGAAATAAGCATCCTTCAGGTCGAGGCTGACCACCCAGATCTCCCATTTTATGTGAGAATGCAACTTCTGTATTGACTCAATCTGGAACATAGGACAAACTAGAAATGATTTGTTGAGAACCTTAAGGTCAATGATCATGTCTGTGGACTTTTTCTTCGGGTCTAGCAAAACTTGCTGTGATCGGTATCCTGTAGTTCCTGAATGACACATTTGTCTAGTAACATTCTGATGTCCAAGGTGGCTGCGGCTAACTTGGTCCCTTCCAGATGGAATACAAGAAGAGGGTAGTGTTGAAAGTGTAACTTGTTTCCCTCTGTAACACTGTTTAAAATCTGGGATCGGTCGTGATCTGCTTCCACTTTTTGGTGTATGAAGAAAGACATCCTCCCACTGGACCTGGCATCTGTGTTATTTGAAAAGCGGTAGACAATCATCTGAGTCAGTAGACAAAACCAGGTCAACAGGATCGAAAACAAAGGAAGAGGTACATACAATGTCAGGTTCGATGATCACCACGACACCCGGTGTAAAGTCTGGAAGTATACCCACCCTTCAAAGTATACCTAGGTAGATTCTGGGGCCTTCCAGATTCTACCCGGCTTTCCCAGAATCAACCCCCAGGGGTATACTCTGGTAGTTCCCAGAATCTACCCAGTGGTTATAACTATAATCTAGGAGCTCCCAGAATCTACTCCAGCTCTTTTTCATTTAAACATTTATATTTCGTGAATTTACATGAAGTTTTCTTTTTTGGTATGCATCTAACTCAGTCTTGATCTCTCCTGGGTCCACTTGCACTAAGCGATCTTAGCAATACAATTATTGTAAATCCTTAAGATCGCGATCTTAGGCTTCGGCTACAATCGCACAAAGCGCACAAGCTGCACAAAGCGATTGTAGCCCAAGATCATTGTAAGCTACAATTGAAACTTATAATTGGTCTGGACCAATCTTAAGTAGCTAAGATCGTTTTAGTCCCTTGAATAAACTTGACAAAATGGCGTGCAAGGCTTGGTCTGTTACACATAAATAATCTGCTTTACGTCCAAACATTGCCTCTTTATTTTGTTAAACTTTATAATTCAAATCGACACTTTAACAACATGAAGAACGCACCACAGATTTAACGTCAGAAACATTGTTAATTACCATCATTAAACACGTAACTATTGAGTCGATAGCTAAAAGAAATATTCCCATCCGACTCAATACTGAAAGAAATGTGAAACAACATACCTTTTTGCTAAACAAGGGAAGAATAAAAACCTAAGTCGTCCCACAAGCGATTTGTAACGTCCTTGACCTTTTCGATAAATCAAGGACAGCTAATCTTAGTTTATACTCTAGATGGGAGTGGTTTCCCTTTGTATAAGCCCATAGAGTCCAACCTACCTTACCCAGTGTATCAATGTTGTTGAATCGCTGAGCTCCCCCTATATTTCTTTTGGGTCACATTTGTGTCAGTTATTTTGTCTTTAGTTTATCATTAAATTAATCTACAAATAAATACAAGCTGAAGAGCAAATCGTACATGTTTAAATCAAAAATCAAATGGGACGGGGACGAGCGGTTAAATAATAGAGTTTAAAAGATAAAAATACAAGTATTTATCAAACAAGCAAATATATATGATGAAACATTTGAACTTTTTGCAAAATATGCCATAAACAGCAAAAATAAAATTCACACTTTAAAAAAAAATAATTAAAAATTAATACCCAGTGAATATATATATATAAACAATTGCTTTCTCAAAACATTATTCATTATTCTTATTTCCCGTCTATGTGTTTTTGAAAGTTCCCATATTTCTGTGTTTTGAAATGGTAGTCATAACATCCTTTGTTGTAGCAACGAAACGAAAACATGAAGGATATATTTAGGATTTTACAAAAAGCTCCCCCAAATAGATGACGATCATGCATTTACGCATTATGGTTTTAGGAAATATTATTATTATTTATTTTAATTATCATAATAATTGTGTTACTGAATAATGTATTCATTCGTATTTCAATACTTTGAATAAAAACATGAGTAGGTATTTCTCTTGTTGAAATAGAAAACAATTCCTAAATCATGACAGTATTAATGCCGGCAAGAATATATGCCTTCATACTAGTAATCGTTTCCTTCAAATAATTGGGACTTTTCCTGAAACTGTGCAAAGTGCAATGGAGGGAGGTACGTGTTGCGTGTCGTTACCGGTTCCACTTATTGTATGCGCATTTGCAGACAACTGTAGACAAGAGTCGAGTTTAAAATCTTCATACCTCCACCGTTGAAGATTTCAATCTTAGCTAAGATCGCGATCTTAACTCCAAGCCGTCTTACAATCGCGCTAAGATGGTTTTGTGCAAGTGGAATAGGACAATTGTATATTGATTGTAAAGTTGATTGTAGCCGACTAAGATCGATTGTAACTAAGATTGTTCTGTGCAAGTGGGCCCAGGTCAATTACTGTAACAACATTGTCGTCTGATTATGTTTACATAAATGCCTATCTAGTACTGTAGTATTCATTTCACAATAACAAATGCTCCCTAGAGCACAAGTAAAGAACTGCTCCCCAGCGTGGGGCCTCTTGGGATTGTAATATGGCGGTTGACCATCAGTGTTTATCACAATAAACTTTATCTGGACCATCCCGAGTCAGTTCGACTTATCAGGAAGCAAACACTACATTGGCGACGAGGATAATAACTCAGCTACGACTTCCTACGGAAATATCGGCAAATTCCACAACGACAAGGAATCATGGATCGCGTATTCTGAACGGCTTGCAGCTTACTTTCAAGCTAATGACATTACTGATAAAACCCAGCAACAGTCAATTTTTATCAGTACAGTTGGATCAAGGACGTATTCCTTACTCAGAAGTTTGGTTTCTCCAGCTAAGCCCAATGTAACAGACTTTGCAGTTTTGATCAAAACTTTGGAAAACCATTTTGAACCGAAGCTGTCAGCCATCGTGCAGCGTTTCAAATTTAACACGTGCACGAGAAAATCAGGATAGATGGTTGCAGCATTTGTCGCGGATGTGAGGACCATTGCAGAACATTGCAGTTACGGTGGTGAAATTGAAAATATGCTACGTGACAGGTTAGTGTGTGGCATATCTGATGACAGAATTCAGAGAAGGTTATTGTCGGAGCTGGAGTTGAGCTACAAGAAAGCATTAGAAATAACTCAAGGAATGGAGACTGCTGCAAAGAACATT